GTGTGCGGTCGCTCGGCGTCTAGGCCCATTTGTGTGCGGCCGCGCTCTCGCGGCGTCTAGGCCCATTTGTGTGCGGCCGCTCGGCGTCTAGGCCCATTTGTGTGCGGCGGCCGCTCGGCGTCTAGGCCCATTTGTGTGCGGGCCGCTCGGCGTCTAGGCCCATTTGTGTGCGGCCGGTGTGAAGAGTTTAATGAAAGGTTTGTTTTTCTCAAATTCGTGTCCGAAATTTTACCTGATGTTCCCAAAGTTACTACTACAGGGGCACTTCGGATCCTTCGGTGCACAATGCAGACCTTATGACCAACATTGGCACAAGGCCATAATCTCCTTTGTCACATTGTTACATAGTTACACAGTTACATAGTTACATAGTTAGTCTGGCTGAAAAAAGACAAAAGTCCATCCAGTTCAACCATTAAAAACAAAAAAAGTTATAATCCTCCACCCACAGTGGATCCAGAGGAAGGCAAAAACACCCAGCAAAGCACGATCCAATCTCCTCCTGCAGGGGAAATAATTCCTCCCTGACCCCCCGAGAGGCAATCGGATATTCCTTGGATCAACTTTCCCTATAAATGTTATATCCAGTTATATTCTGTGTATCCAAGAAAGGATCCAGGACTTTCCTACAGCAATCCACTGAGCTGTCCACAACCAACTCTGGAGGGAGTCTATTCCACATTCTCACAGCTCTTACTGTAAAGAAACCTTTCCGTGTTTGGAGATTACATTTCTTTTCCTCCAGACGTAAAGAGCGCCCCCTTGTCCTCTGTGATGACCTCAGGGTGAAGAACTCTACTTGTCTAAGTTGTCCTCCACCATCTACTGTTGGATCTGTACTATATGGACAAAGACTTATACACAGCTGAGCGTCACACCTAATAAATGGCCAACAGTATGTGGACACCTCCCAATGATGGCGTTCAGGGGTCTCCAGTGAGGGGTCCCGGTAATCCTCCATCATACAAAGACATTGAAGACAATTGTGCTCTTCCAGCCTTGTGGTCACAGTTTGGTGAAGACCCTTTTCTGTTCCCCCATGACTGTCCCTGTGTACAAAGCCGGCTCCATAAAGACATGGATGACCAGTTTGGTGAAGACCCTTTTCTGTTCCCCCATGACTGTCCCCCGTGTACAAAGCCGGCTCCATAAAGACATGGATGACCAGTTTGGTGAAGACCCTTTTCTGTTCCCCCCATGACTGTGCCCTGTGTACAAAGCCGGCTCCATAAAGACATGGATGACCAGTTTGGTGTGGAGGAACTTGAGTGTCCTGTACAGAGCCCTGACCTCACCCTACTGAACACCTTTGGGATGAATTGGAGTTGTACACACCCAGCATTCCATGAACACCCAGTACAGGACACACCCAGCACAGGACACACCCAGCACAGGACACACACAGCACAGGACACACCCAGCATTCCATGAACACCCAGCACAGGACACACCCAGCACAGGACACACCCAGCATTCCATGAACACCCAGCACAGGACACACCCAGAATTCCATGAACACCCAGCACAGGACACACCCAGCATTCCATGAACACCCAGCACAGGACACACCCAGCACTCCATGAACACCCGGCGCTCCATGAACACCCGGCGCTCCATGAACACCCAGCACAGGACACACCCTGCACAGGACACACCCAGCACTCCATGAACACCCAGTGATCCGTGCACACCCAACGTTTCGTGCACACCCAGCATTCCGTGCACACCCAATGTTTCGTGCACACCCAGCGTTCCGTGCACACCCAGCATTCCGTGCACACCCAATGTTTCGTGCACACCCAGTGTTCCATGCACACCCAGCATTCCGTGCACACCCAACGTTCTGTGAACACCCAGCATTCCGTGAACACCCAACGTTCCGTGCACACCCAACATTCCGTGCACATCCAGCGTTCCGTGCACACCCAGCGTTCCGTGCACACCCAGCGTTCCGTGCACACCCAGCGTTCCGTGCACACCCAGCGTTCCGTGCACACCCAGCATTTTGTGAACACGCGGTTTGGCGGTGATAGTGCGATTGCTCCGCCTGTGTGGACGGGACGAAACAACACAATAATATCTGCAGAAATGTTCCATCCGGGGACACCTTAGAGCAGAATTCCAGTCCAAGGAGAAAGCTTCATCCGCGTTCCATCGAACGATTACAGCACCGGAACACAAAACGCAACGAGCCAAAAAGGAAAGAAAAAAAAGAGAAGCAGATAAGTGAAAATGGAAAATATTTGTCATGGCGGCCGGTCCGTGGGATTCGGCGTTTCATGTTTCACACCTGCGCTCCCATCCATCCAACTCCCAATAAATCCTTTAACCATCTGTCAGGCCGACATGAAATAAGTGACAGCGACTTAAGCCGCATTGACGTTTCCACCTCAATCCAAACATCTCCAGGTCGTCTGCCAGAATCGAGAAAGAAAAACATATTCACCCCCCCCCCCCCCCCCCTCCCCCGCCACCCTTTCCAAATATAAAAAACAACAAAACTCCCGTTGGCACAAAGCAGCGATTTTCTATCGTGAACCAGTCTGGCTGCAGATCGTCCATTGAGGAGGTTGTGATCGACGAAGAGCCGCCCGGTACATGGCAGCCGCCTTCCGATCGCATTTCTCCTTCAAGAACACGTTCCGCATTCGCAGGTTGTTCCTGGAGAATGATTTTGCGTTCGATGCCGGGAGCCAAACACCCCGAAAGGTTCGAGGAGAACCCAGAAAAACAAAAGTCACCCAATTTAAAACAATTTGTGTGCGATTTCTGAAGACTTTATTGCAGCTTGTGAAGATTTTTTTTGCGATTTGCAGAGCGATTTCCATTCTATTCTATGTCTGAAATCGCAACAAAACTGTAGAAAAAGTCGTGCAAGGACTGCTTTAGAGATCGCTCCGCGGCAAATCGCACGTTAGGACGCCAACATTCATTAGATGAGATTTCAGGTGCAAGATATTCTATAAATATGACCCAAAATGTGGGATTTTTTTTCAGTGTGATTGTTAACAGGGAGGGGGAGGGGATTCTCCCCAACGGGGGCAATAAAACCTGATGTGGGGGGGAGGGGTCCATCTAACACAAAAAGTTTTGGCTTTAGGTCTACTATAACCGACTCATCACTGAGCTGTACATAGCCTGAGCAGAGCTGTGGGAGGGGCCTGGCAGGCTCCACCTACTACAAAAAACTACAGGGTGGGGGGGGGGGGGGGGGGGGGGGGAGACAAGACAAGTCACCCTGCACAAGGATGAGGGTGAGGGGACAGAAGGGGGGTGTACGGCTCCACCCTTTCAGTCTTGCATAGTTGTTCCAGCTCCTCCCCTTTAGTCTTCTACAGGTGTACCGGCTCCTCCCCTCCAGTCTTGCACAGGTGTACCGGCTCCTCCCCTCCAGTCTTGCACAGGTGTACCGGCTCCTCCCCTCCAGTCTTGCACAGGTGTACCGGCTCCTCCCCTCCAGTCTTGCACAGGTGTACCAACTCCTCCCCTCCAGGCCTGCACAGGTGTATCGGCTCCTCCCCTCCACCCCTTTAGTCTTGTACAGGTGTACAGGCTCCTCCCTCCAGTCTTCCACAGGTGTACCAGCTCCTCCCCTCCAGTCTTGCACAGGGGTACCGGCTCCTCCCCTTTCAGTCTTGCACAGGTGTAATGGCTCCTCCCCTCCAGTCTTGCACAGATGTACCAGCTCCTCCCCTTCAGTCTTGCACAGGTGTACCGGATCCTCTCTTTTAGACTTGCACAGGTGTACCGGCTCCTCCCCTCCAGTCTTACACAGGTATACCAGCTCCTCCCCTTTAGTCTTGCACAGGGGTACCGGCTCCTCCCCTTTCAGTCTTGCACAGGTGTATCGGATCCTCCCCTTCAGTCTTGCACAGGTGTACCGGCTCCTCCCCTTCAGTCCTGAACAGGTGTACTGGCTCCTCCCCTTCAGTCCTGCACAGGTGTACCGGCTCCTCCCCTTCAGGCCTATATTCTGTTCTGTTTTTATTCTATTCTTTTCAAAATTCAAATTCAATCATCCTTTTTATCAAAGGCGGCAATATTCTTTCTATTGTATTCTTTTCTGTTCTATTCCTTTATTTTCTATTCTATTTTATTCTATTCTTTTTCTTTCATTTTATTTCCTATTCTATTCTGTTTGAAGTTTGAATTTTGGAAGACGGCTATTTTCTAACACAAATTCACAGTCTCTGAAGGAAATCAGCGATGGTCAGCAGTTTGCTCATATTTTTAATTGTTTTCGATTTCATCTTCAGTATGGATTCAAATTTCGGATGAAAATGTCATTTTGTTCTTTGGATTTGTTTAGATTCGTTCTGTAATTCGGAGACATCCAAATCTCCAAATAACGAAAATTTTGTCCGAATTTCAATTTGGAACGAGCAGCAGTTGTCTATTGCCGAACCTCATTTTGTGGCTGGAGGGCATCCGGCATCATTTAGGTCTTTCCTCCCTTTTAATTGAAGTGACATTCATCCTGGCAGGCAGGCAGTTCTCTCCGATCCTCGGTCGGTGTGGTCGACTTCCCGAGACTTTCCCTGAGAAGATAAATCCGATCGATGAGCTGAGACAGAGCAGACCGCGACAGGCGAGGAACGAAGATGGATGAAGTGCGCTCCGAACATCTGAGGCTCCTAGGACCAGGATGGGGCCCATTCATCTCCAGAACAGAAATATGTGACTGCTGAGCCATGTTACCATCACATCCCGGGGATGGAGCCAATGTACGAGAATGGAGGAGGGGAGAATACAGAGATCCATGTACAACCCGTCTGATTTATATTCACCTCATGGGAATGTTTTCTACCATTTGTCAGATCTGTGTGAATGTAATACAGAGACGTCACTGATCCACATTCACTGATCCACATTCACTATATCCTCCCTCCGGCCTCCCCTCCAGTCTTGCACAGGTGTACTGGCCCCTCCCCTCCAGTCTTTCACAGGTGTCCCAGCTCCTCCCCTTCAGTCTTGCACAGGTATAAAGACTCCTCCCCTTCAGTCTTGCACAGGTGTACCGGCCCCTCCCCTCCAGTCTTTCACAGGTGTCCCGGCTCCTCCCCTTCAGTCTTGCACAGGTGTACCAGCCCCTCCCCTTCAGTCTTGCACAGGTGTACCAGCCCCTTCCCTCCAGTCTTGCACAGGTATACCGGCTCCTCCCCTTCAGTCTTGCACAGGTATACCGACTCCTCCCCTTCAGTCTTTCACAGGTGTCCCGGCTCCTCCCCTTCAGTCTTTCACAGGTGTCCCAGCTCCTCCCCTTCAGTCTTGCACAGGTATACCGGCTCCTCCCCTTCAGTCTTGTACAGGTGTACCGGCTCCTCCCCTTCAGTCTTGCACAGGTTTACCTGCTCCTCCCCTTCAGTCTTGTACAGGTGTTGCAACTCCTCCCCTTCAGTCTTGCAGAGGTTTACCTGCTCCTCCCCTTCAGTCTTGCACAGGGGTACCAGCTCCTCCCCTTCAGTCTTGCACAGGGGTACCGGCCCCTCCCCTCCAGTCTTGCACAGGTATACCGGCCCTTCCCCTCCAGTCTTTCACAGGTATACCGGCTCCTCCCCTTCAGTCTTGCTAAGGTGTACCGGCTCCTCCCCTTCAGTCTTACACAGTTATACCGACTCCTCCCCTTCAGTCTTGCACAGGTGTACCAGCTCCTCCCCTTCAGTCTTGCACAGGTGTACTGGCCCCTCCCCTCCAGTCTTGCACAGGTGTACCAGCCCCTCCCCTCCAGTCTTGCACAGGTATACCGGCCCCTCCCCTTCAGTCTTGCACAGGTGTACCGACTCCTCCCCTTCAGTCTTTCACAGGTGTCCCGGCTCCTCCCCTTCAGTCTTACACAGGTGTATCGGCTCCTCCCCTTCAGTCTTGCACAGGTGTACCAGCTCCTCCCCTTCAGTCTGGCACAGGTGTACCGGCTCCTCCCCTTCAGTCTTCACAGGTGTACCCGCTCCTCCCCTTCAGTCTTGCACAGGTGTACCGGCTCCTCCCCTTCAGTCTGGCACAGGTGTACCGGCTCCTCCCCTTCAGTCTGGCACAGGTGTACCGGCTCCTCCCCTTCAGTCTGGCACAGGTGTACTGGCTCCTCCCCTTCAGTCTTCACAGGTTTTTTCAATTCAAATTTGATTCGATTACTTTGAGTTCATTGGAAGAATTTGAATCCGATCGAAAACCAATAAATTAAGCAAATTTAGTTAGGAATGCAATGAAGCGAAAATAGCAACTTATTAAATCGATCCGCAACGAATCAAAGCGCAGTTTTTTTGTTCTGCACAGACTCAGTTCTGCGTTTTCTCTCCCATCCGTTCTCCTATTGGCTCCACGCTGGAAGGGGCGGAGACTTGGCGTCTCGCTGGAGATCCGATGAAACGATATATAGAATTCTCTCGTCTTCACAGTCACAGAGATCTAAGCAAAGCCCGGCCAATCCTGGACTGAGCTGCCACCAGCCGCGCCCTGCGTCTCCCGCTCTTGACATTCCCAATGCCCCGCCCATCGGCGCTGACGCTCTCCTCTGAACGCTTTTAGCGGACAATCCCTTGAAGGAGTCGTCTTGTTTGCTGTTTAAAGGAGAGAAGCATGGAGGGCCGGTGCCAGGCCGTGGCGGGCGCTGCGGGGAAAACACGACCGCCAATTAATAGCCAGCTATGCTAGTGACACCATTAATGGAGGTTAAACCAACAAGTCCGGCCTCCCGGGACTGGGGAAGAGGGGGGAATTGGAACTGATGCAACGCGTCGGATCGTTCTGCAATTCGCTCTCCTGAGAATATTTGTGCGCATTATAAGTCTGCGGCCTGTTCATGATCAGAAGTGGTCCCTGGAGGGGGGAGGGGAGGGGGGGGTCGTTACCACGACACAAAACAGAAGCCATTTCATTCCATTATCTGCAGTGGGAAGGCCCGGCGTGGTCAGCGTTCTGCACGGTTCGGCTGCAGTTCTGTGATCCCGCCATGGGAAGATGCACAGAGGACGATTTATTCTTCATTTCTGGAAACAAATTTGTCTTTGAAATACAGAATTTGTTTTGTTTTTTATTCTCCTGTTTGGCTCGCAGTCTGACGAGTCCTGGGAGCAGATCGACCTTCCGGACGAATTATTCCTATAAAGCCGTAATCGCCAGACTGACGCCTACTGATTGGGTACGGCCCTTGTGTGCCTTTATCTGACCCACGGGGCACTATTCCTCCCACTGACACCAATGATGGGGCACTATTCCTCCCACTGACACCAATGATGGGGCACTATTCCTCCCACTGACACCAATGATGGGGCACTATTCCTCCCACTGACACCAATGATGGGGCACTATTCCTCCCACTGATACCAATGACGGGGCACTATTCCTCCCACTGACACCAATGATGGGGCACTATTCCTCCCACTGACACCAATGATGGGGCACTATTCCTCCCACTGACACCAATGATGGGGCACTATTCCTCCCACTGACACCAATGATGGGGCACTATTCCTCCCACTGACACCAATGATGGGGCACTATTCCTCCCACTGATATCAATGATGGGGCACTATTCCTCCCACTGACACCAATGATGGGGCACTATTCCTCCCACTGACACCAATGATGGGGCACTATTCCTCCCACTGACGCCAATGATGGGGCACTATTCCTCCCACTGACGCCAATGATGGGGCACTATTCCTCCCACTGACGCCAATGATGGGGCACTATTCCTCCCACTGACGCCAATGATGGGGCACTATTCCTCCCACTGACGCCAATGATGGGGCACTATTCCTCCCACTGACGCCAATGATGGGGCACTATTCCTCCCACTGACGCCAATGATGGGGCACTATTCCTCCCACTGACGCCAATGATGGGGCACTATTCCTCCCACTGACGCCAATGATGGGGCACTATTCCTCCCACTGACACCAATGATGGGGCACTATTCCTCCCACTGACACCAATGATGGGGCACTATTCCTCCCACTGACACCAATGATGGGGCACTATTCCTCCCACTGACATCAATGATGGGGCACTATTCCTCCCACTGACACCAATGATGAGGCACTATTCCTCCCACTGTCACCAATGATGGGGCACTATTCCTCCCACTGACACCAATGATGAGGCACTATTCCTCCCACTGACACCAATGACGGGGCACTATTCCTCCCACTGACACCAATGATGAGGCAATTATCTAACTCCTTCTACTGACCACAGGCACTATATAAGCCCGAAGGACAGTATACATTTCTTAGGAACGTTTGGGGAGCGCGGAATGGGTGCATAAAGAGGCTGCGGGTCATATACAATAACAGAGATCCAATCATGTCTCCCCAAGGAGCCCAGTGTGGAGGCTACATACCTGCAGTACAGAGTCATTGTGGCCCTTATGGCGTCCCCACTGGAGGTCCCAATGAGGAGACACGCCCTCTATAGTCATAGATGGGGCACCTTCCTATTCAGTACTGCAAAGCTGAGAGCGCCATCACATGGGCCCCTGTGGCCCCTCCTCTGGAGACCGGTCATCTGCCAACCTGTCTTATTGGATCCTGTGAGGACCCCCCGGGAAGGGTCCATATCACCAGCCAGTGCTGAGGGGGTCCCAAGAAGGACTGGAAGAAAAATACACCTCATGTGTAACATGACCCCCCTCCCCCAGTGATTAGACTGGCATTTCCCTAGTCTCCCCTCCCCCAGTGATCAGACTGTACATTGTAACTTTGTAGAAGGAGGAGGAGTCATTTCCTCAGTCTCCCCTCCCCGAGTGATCAGACTGTACATTGTAACTTTGTAGAACTTTGTAGAACTGCACAGGCACCCGGATTGTGTCACTTCTGTGCCGGCATGCCAGTCCAGGATGTAGATGGTGACCCTGAAAGGTTCCTGAACAAAGATGGTGCCATCCTTCTAGGGGGGAAATCATGTGAAGGCATTGGCAGGAGGAGTCCCGTGGTCTCTAGGAGAAGTCCTGTGGTCTCTAAGAGGAGTCCCATGGTCTCTAGGAGTCCCGTGGTCTCTAGGAGGAGTCATGTGATCTCTAGGAGTCCCAAGGTCTCTAGGAGGAGTCCCGTGATCTCTAGGAGAAGTCCCGTGATCTCTAGGAGGAGTCATGTGATCTCTAGGAGTCCCAAGGTCTCTAGGAGAAGTCCCGTGGTCTCTAGGAGGAGTCCTGTGGTCTCTAGGAGGAGTCCCGTGGTCTCAAGGAGGAGTCCCGTGGTCTCTAGGAGGAGTCCCGTGGTCTCTAGGAGGAGTCCCGTGGTCTCTAGGAGAAGTCCCGTGGTCTCTAGGAGGAGTCCCGTGGTCTCTAGGAGCAGTCCCGTAGTCTCTAGGAGGAGTCCCGTGGTCTCTAGGAGGAGTCCCGTGGTCTCAAGGAGGAGTCCCGTGGTCTCAAGGAGGAGTCCCGTGGTCTCTAGGAGGAGTCCCGTGGTCTCTAGGAGGAGTCCCGTGGTCTCTAGGAGCAGTCCCGTGGTCTCTAGGAGCAGTCCCGTGGTCTCTAGGAGCAGTCCCGTGATCTCTAGGAGAAGTCCTGTGATCTCTAGGAGGAGTCCTGTGCAGGGGCGGACTGACAACTCATGGGGCCCCCGGGCAATAGGGGATCATGGGGCCCCTGTGTCCTTGCCCAAACTCAAAAAAGCCTATAGAAAAGGTACCAGGGGCATCTCATGGGACCCCCTACTGACCCCGGGCCCTCAGGCAGTGCCCAAGTTTCCAAATGGTCAGTCCGCCCCTGGTCCTGTGGTCTCTAGGAGGAGTCCTGTGATCTCCAGGAGAAGTACTGAGTACATGGAAGTGTTTGCTGCAACAGAACAACAGAAGAAACTCGGAAAAGCCGGAATGGGGCTTCAGATAACCCCCAAAGTGCTGAAAGTCGTCGTTCCTCCATCCGGGTTCCTCCATCCGGGTTCCTCCATTCAGGTTCCTCCATCCGGGTTCCTCCATCCGGGTTTCGGTCGAAGTTTCTGATGTAAACTCTGTTAAGGAAGCCAAAATCTTCTCAGCTTTGATGGGAGTAATCAGAATTCTGCGGCTTCTATCTGGAGCATCGATCGCACAACCCGTATGGCTCAGGATAAAAGGGAGAATCTTCCCTCTGCAAAGCCGCAGTGCTCAGTTCCTACGATCTGCCCCCCCACCGCCCACCCCCCACCTCGCTGAGATCTTCCTGTAAAGCAGAAATCCGGAGAGATAAGGAATTCTTGGGAAAATTGACAGGAGATAGGGATCACCATGCCCACAGGCGGCCATCATGGGAGGGGGAGCACACCATTGTTCTACAGTCTGTATATACCGTATATCTATATCTATCTATATACACTCTGCTGAAAAAAAATGACAGGACCACTTTGTAATCCGAGTCGCATCAAGTCGATGAACCTCCTGGGATATGGATCTGGTCAGGTAAGTTGCAGAGGGGGATGTTCATCAGTTTCAGCTGCTTTGGTGTTCATGAAACTAACAACAGGTGTACTAGATGGGCAACAATGAGACAACCCCCAAAACAGTAATGGGTTTACAGGTGAAGGCTGTCACGATCGCAGCGTCAGACCCCAGACCTCTCCAAACTCGTGACCGAAGGACTAGCTGATCTAAAACCGCGATGTCACATGCGTAACAATGCCACACCCAGCTGCACCCTGCACAACGATTTTCCAGCTAATTTTACCACAATCGATGTACCGGCAGCCTGAGCAATTGTTACTGGGTCAGGTTAATTACACAATTAACCCTTCACACTGCCACCACCTCCTTTTTGTACAGAGAAAGAGGAAACTCGGCAATATCAGCAGTAACACTACAATGGTTGAGGTAATCGTCTGCATAATACGGTCACCGCAGGCCGGTTATACAGAGGGTTAAACAAACACAGTAGCGTCTCTTTAGAGGCAGGAATTCGCAAATTGCAATACAAAGCTATAGAAACAGTTCAACACTTTCAGAAGGAAAGATTTATTACTAAAAGGTCAAACTGGTGCAATAAAAATATTTACAGAAAAAGATGTAACTAAGATATATATATAAACATACAAGGAACCATAGCATAGCAAAGAGATATCAGAGAGAGGTAAAAGGGTTCAGGTACTTG